CAGCGGCTCCTCATTCAGGAGAACAGGTTAATGGCAGGCTGGGAGGTAGAGTCCTCATGCCTGGAGCATGTCTGTGTGGCGATGGGTGTAGAGTCCATTCAGGCCATCACTCACTGACTTGGAGTCTGCTTAACTTTGCCTAAGAACCGCTGCCATGTTTTCTCTCATCTCGGCCTAGGTGTCCTTAATCAATATGATGCTGAGATGAGGTTTGTGTTCCTTCTGATCAGGCTTTTAAATTACCTTCTGATTCCTGTGCCTGGCAGTTCCCAGAGCAGTGTGCTGTCTTTTTGAGTAGCTGCAGTTTTAGCTATAAAAGATCTGAGGTAGGAATCTAATTCAGATCCCTCTTCCCTGGGCTTATTCTCCCTCAATGTGCAGTCCCAGAAACTGAGGCTCCAAGAGGTGGATCTCTGTGTTGATGAGTAGCTGAGCACGTCATTTAGGTACCAGACCATTCACTACACAGTGCAGCCTTTGCAAACACAGGCACCTCTACCTGATTCCAAAGGCTGCGGAAAGCCTTACAATTGTGGTGCTTAGTAGTAGCAAGAATGTGGTCTTGCCTTTGTAAATCCCCAGTTTGGTTACCTCAGAGGAAGGTTGAGGCAGGAGCATGAGGTAAGTAATTTGACTCTAGTTTCTTGTCTTCTGGTAGGAAAATGCCTTTGGCTTTTCTTATAGGAATGTTGTGAAAATAAATGTAAAATATGAGTTGGATTTTTCAGTGCCTTAGAGAATCCAGAGATCATGTATTTTATGAAAAATTACATGTATTCTAATTTTCTGCTCGTCTGATACTCTCAATGAATTGATACATAATTTTAGTGATTAGGAAAGGCACATTCTAAATTTTGAACAAAGTGTCTATTCTTACTTCACTGATTACTGAAGAGCCTTAAAATTTTCTTTTAAAGAAGATACTGTATGTTGGAACTACACAAGTGATTATTAAAGATAATCGGAGTTGAGGCAGAATCAAGATTAGAATTTGTTAGAGTTTACATCCCAGAATTAAGACACGATCAGCATCCTAGTGCTAATATGTAATTAAGGAAACTGAAGGGAAAGAAAGCCCTTGAAAGGAGGTAGCATCTGTCCCAAGGAATTATTACTAGCCCTTTAACAATCTGTAGGTTGCCTTACACTTAGTATTAATACAGTTAATGCAATGAATTATTCTTCATTGTGAACTCCCCCATTTTAACCAACCTGGAGTTGAACAAAATACATTCATACAGGCTTATCTGCAGTTACAACACACTTAATGCACTAGACTCAGTACAAAACACTGTAGCCACATTCAGCGCACTTTGGATGCGCACAGGTAGTCCGCACACCAGCTGTATCAGCATCCTCTGCTTCAACTGCCCCGTCTCACACCTGCTGGGGCAGAATCTTCATTTTAACATGATCCCCAGGTGGCTTGCTTGCTCATTAAAGTTTGAAAATCACTGACTATGCAGCTTTCAATTTTATTCTGTTTCACCGATCTGATAGAATGCTGTGCTTTTGTATCTGACATACCTGAGCAAACCTATGAACTGCAGGTGTCATTCCACCCTTTCCTGAATGCAGTTAATTCTTTACTATTTCCCATCCCTCAAAAGTGTTTTACATGTTGCCAATTTTACAAATATATAATCTGTCCCACCTGGCTTCCCTAAAGTTGATCTTATGCCTGAAAATAACCTGTAACTTTACAATTGCTAGTGCTCTTGCCTTATTTGGAATAACCTTTTGCAGATTGTTTGGGAGGAAAAAGTAAGACCATTTGCCAAGAACAACAATAACCTCTCTTGGCTAGTGTTTAAAACCCCCAAAGAAGGCGTTCACTTTGAATTTTTCATTGTTAGAACATAGCATGAAAGATTTTTTTTGAGAAACAATGTAATTGAGAAGTAAACTCGTTAGCTTGACCATTTCATGCTAAACTCATCCTCAGTCTATTTAATAGATCTCAGTTCTTTTAAGAATTTTAACATCAAATCCTGCTATTTGAGGTCATTGGGAGTTACATTGATTTTTGTTCTTCCTTCTCACATTTTCTAAAAAGCTAAGGAAAGCAGATTCAGTTAATTGGCAGAGTTTGCGTGCACTTGACAGGTGTGCCTGCTTGTGCCTGGGTCAGGGTGCACCCCCTCAGAATGTAGCGCCCCTGCAGCTACACTGTGGTCATCCTCAGAAATGAGAATGAGCTCGCTGGCTGCTTGCCCCAGCCAGTGAAGGACCTCCCTGAGCTCTCACACCACTGCTGTCATTTCACATGGCTAGAGCCTGCTGGAGTTCATTTAGAAAGGAAGTAAAGATTTCAATATACTTAACAGAAAGGAACCCTTTCCTTGAAAATCCACGATGCAGTGATGTTATCACTGGCCTCAAGAGACAGCTGGGTATCCTGCACTGGGCAGGCTTGGTTCCTTGAGGTTTTTGAATGCCCACTTTTAGATGGAGCGGGAAAGGGTCTTTGCCTTTGAATCCCTATGCACAGCTCAGGCAGGACAGGAAAGGTAATAGCATTGAAGAGCACAGTGGGGTGAGATTGTAGGGGTGGCAAACTCTGTCTTTGTGCTTGCACTAGTCTAGTAATTGGCATTAGATGAATTGACAGGAGAAAAACAAGTTTCATTTCATATATACACAAGCCCATAAAGGTAGGAAGCTCAAAGAAGTGACAGAAACAGGCAGCTTTTATACTTTTTAGAAAAGGAAACAACTTTGGGAAGAACAGACAAGGAAGTTTGGGCTTAGGCTAGTACTTCAGCGAGGAAGAAACAGGTGGGTATTTGCAGCCTGTCGGCCCTGAGTTCCCCAACTCTGGTGATAAAATTGCCTTCTACCCTCCCGGTACAGAGGAAGAGCCCTTCACGTAGTTTTCTGGCCCACTTTCAGAGAGACAGTGGAGGGATAAAGGGTCCTAGTGTGAGCTGGAGATGCTCACAGTTAGGGCCGCTGAGAAGAGGCTGCAGCACCCACTGCCCCAGTAAGAAGGTTAGGATGCGTGCTGGATTAACAGCTCTCAAAAGGTGGCCGAGACAGAGCTGGTCACCCGTCAGCAGTGCTGGCCAGTAGTACCAGTCAACACTGAACGCTAGGAAGCAGTGGTGTCAGAAACACTTAACAGCTCTTTGTGAGTTGCTGGCCCACACCAATAAGCACCTCTGAGACACCAGGCCCGTGGCCTTTGGTGCTTTGAAGCATTTTGTCAGAGGCAGGGCCAGAGAGTGGCAGCACAGGCCTTTGTTTGCAAAGTTTGTGGCTTCTCTGTGAAGCTTTTTGGCTTTTCTTGCTTTAGAGATTGGCTATTGGATGATGCTTCTTTCTTCAGATGTCAGAAACAGAGTCTTTCTCAGAACAGAGTTAGTAACAGAGAGTCAGGAACAGTCTTTCTCAGGAATAGAGCGAGTCAGGAACAGTCTTTTTCAGGAACAGAGTCAGGAACAGAGTCTTTTTCAGAAACAGAGAGTCAGGAACAGAGACAGTCAGAGAGTGCACGCCAAGCTGGTGCCTGCCCTGTCTTATATCCTCTTTCAGGTTTCCCCCACCTACAAGTCTGATTGGGCCATTTTCAATCCTCTGGCTGATTGGACCATTTACCAATTAGCTCAGCACACACCTGATGGTCCTTTCCACCACCCAGGCACCAAATGGATGGGCCCCTCTACTGCCTGCGCCTGGAGGGGCCACGTGCTGGGGCTGGCCTGTTGGGTCCTCGTGTTCCTTCCTGCAGCCCTGGAGTAGGGGCTGCCTGTCCTGGGGTGTCATGGCTGAGGAACCACTGCCGCCCACCATTACTGCTGGCCTCTGCCTGCAGCCTGAGCACCAGTGGGACCACTGGTGGTGGCAGTAAAATGGTGGTCACCTACTATACTTGCAACTTCCCACAAGCAGCTTCTGGGGCTGAGTGCCCAAGCCCCGAGCCAGGGGCTCTCCAGTTTCAAAATGAATCCAAATGAGCTCCTGCCAGACCGCTCCTTTTCCCCCTCCCAGGAGATTAGTCATTTTCAAATAATTAACTGACAATTAGCTCACAATCTTCTGAGGAGCTGTAGAGAATACCCCTACTCAGGTCCCTCCCAAGGCACACCACCTGCTGAGCCTTTATTATTTGATTGGTTTCCAGTTGAGAACTTGGTTCTAAGTCAGCTGCACTGGAGATGGAATTATAGCTCTTCCCCTTCTAGCCGTGTGACATTTGCCCCATTAGTAAACACCTCTTCTCCCCATATCTTCATTTGTAAAATATTTCATGTATTTCTTTAGGTAAAACAACCAAAAAATTACAGAAATTATGGCCTAAGAATATATTTTCAATAAATAATATTGGGGAAGTTATATATTCATGCTGAAAAATGGAAATAGAAACAATTTTCAGTCGATTTAAAGATTAAGTAAAGTATGAGGAGTTTTGCACAGTTTCAATAAATGGTTGTTATTAATCACAAAGAACAACAATATCCAATAAGTACCAAAAAATGTACAATGTGTCTGTTAACTAAATAAATTCAAATAAAGGACAATGAGAAAATTAAAAAAAAAAAAGATGATATTAGTATAACTGTTTCATGGGAATGTTCCCAGAGTTGGAGCAAGTTCTCTATACACAATTCTTGTCAGAATACCTGACATATAAGGAAACATTCCTTGAATGTAAATTTCTTTTCATGACTGGACCCTAATTTTATTCGGAACAACCCATTTGCGCGCTTATCTAACTCAGAAAGGAACAAAATGAACAAGAAAGCTTTGCTTATAATCCTAGACAATGGCCAATTTAAGGACATTAGGATGGTGGTACAGAGCTGACCTATTTTCATTTCATTTGAAAGACTGGCAGTTTCAGTTATGATAACTATAAAATGTTGTCACTCAACATACCAGTTTCTTCCAAATACAAATGTTTCTGAAAACTTGCGTTAACAATGAAAAATCATCAGACATGGAAAGCCCCATCTTTAACCTGTTCTCTTCTCTCCTCCCCGCTGCATCCCAATGGGAAGAACTCCTTGACCAGGAGCGCACCCCTCCCCAATGACTCCCAGGCACGCAGCGGCGCTCGATTCCACACTTCCTACGACAAAAGATATATCATCAAGACCATCACGAGTGAAGATGTGGCTGAAATGCACAACATCCTAAAGAAATACCACCAGGTAATTTATCTTTATCTGAAACTGAGAAGGTTCCTATTTACGATGAGTTATCATCAGGCCAAAGATTTAAGTATCCAGTTAGGAAATCATGAGAGCACATTTGACATGAAGATCTCCTCTAGCTGAATTTTGAAAAATTACCGTGGCCAGATTACTGACAGTTTACATTTAGGAATGCTTATGCTATGAAGACCATTATGTGACACCTCTGCGTAATAGTTTCCATGAGTCCCATTCTGATCTTAAAATTACTCAGCTTAAGATTCGCCCACATTTCAAAAGTTTTTTGAACATTGCCCGTCTCAGAAATTAGATGTTAACTTCTGGGTATTTATCCACTTGCACCTCCTGATTCTGTCCTGGCCCCAGAAAGACCTATCCCCATTCACATTTTACTCAGAAATTTCTCTAATTTTAGGAAGTGGGTGTCTACTTCTGCCTTCTTTTCACTCTTCAGCCATTATCCCTACATCACTGCCTAGGGATAAAATGAAATATCCCTTGGGAGCAGTAAAATCTCTCTCTCTCTCTCTCTCTCTCTCTCTAGCACAAATTTCAAATTTGCCTGGTAGAGTCCAGTTGTCCAGGCCCCAGCCCAAACTGCTGAAGGCCTTATTACTGTGAAATAGCTAGTCCAATGTCAGACACTTCCAGGTTTAAATCCCAGCCCTCTCACCTCCTAGCCATGTGATGTCTAGCCTTTGAAGCCTCAATGTCTTCCTTTACAGTGGATATATAACACCTAACTATGAAGTCCTGAAGATTAAAAGGGAGAAGGTACATCAAGTACTTGCACACAAGAGAGGGTGCTGAAAGTTATCACCAAGTTGTACAATAATAAACAATACCAGCAGGCCTCCTTGGGGGCATAAGGGGTTAAGCACAGAACAGTGAAGCTATCTGCAGTCTCTGCAGTTTGATCCCCGGGCGGCCAGGGAGTTACCAACATGGCGCAGCAGACCTCTCCTGCCTCTCCCGCTGCTCCCCTCAGCAGTGAATTTCAGTCAGTTTGCCTGTTCTGCTCTCCACTCTCTCTGGTGAATCCTCTCACCCCCTGCACCTCTGGCTTACACCCCAGTTCTTGTATGCATAAATAAATGTATCTTCAAAAAAAATAATAAGAGCTATATTGAGAAACTGTAGTCAACAATATCTTGAGAAATTTTCGTCTTTGACATGAATATTTGATCTTTGAGCATTGCTTGCAACATGTCAGCAATCATTCAGAACTGGTATTTGACCCACTCACCCCCCATCCCCCCAAATAGACACTCTTGCTTTTAGAGTCCTGCTTTGTGTTTTGCTTTTTTTAAACCCAGCATTAACCACAGGATTCTTAAAATTGCTAATACTCATTATTCAGTATTGGTCTCTCAAAGTGAGTACTTTCAAGCCAACATTCATTTGGACTTGTGAGCTCTTAGATGTCTATTTAAAAGTCAGCTTCCTTTCTTTATGGTCATGCTTTATGCTCCAACAGCGTGGATTATTTCTTGGCAGTTACTTATTATTCCAGTCTTTGCAAATGTAATCAATTGTATTTTGCTTACAGTGAAGTCAATAAAAAAAATCTTTGAGCTGCGTCCTGTTTCTGGAAACTCAGGACTGCCCCTAATTTGTTTTCTAAACACATTAGTCAGTCTCTAATTCATTTAACATCTCATAAATCTTTTATAACATCTATTCTTTTTGAAATGTGTTCTGTAGGGCTTATGCTCTTGACTATTATAAAGGACACCTTAAAGTTCCAGGGCAGAACCTGTGATGGTGAAAACACAAAGGCACTGGCTTTTGTGAATGAATGGAGTTGTAGGATGGAGCTTTTAAAAAGTCACTTTTCTGGGCCTCTCTGGTGGCACAAGGGGTTAGGACACAGTTTATGGGGCTGTCTATAGCTTCTGCAGTGTGAGTTCAATCCCCAGCAAGGGAGCTACCCACATGGCGCAGCAGATCTCTCCTGGCTCGCCTGTTGCTCCCCTCAGCAGTGTACTTCAGTCGATCTGCCTGTTCTGCTCCCCATTCTGTCTCTGGTGAGTCCTCTCACTCCTCACACCTCTGGCCTGTGCCCCAGATCTTGTATGCATAAATAAATAAATCTTAAAAAAAAATAAAAAATCACTTTTCAAACTGCCTGCCATTTCATTTTCCCTCTCTGGAATGTATTCTGATAAATGGCTATGATACTATCCTAATAAAATAGAACTTGATTCAAATATCAATTTCAATGACAACTCTGAGTTCAGAATTTTTTGCTTTTACAGAAGTCAGTTTGAAATGCTATCTCTGGGGTAGTTACTGTAACCTTATATGCAGATTTGACATATTATCAGTATTACATAAAGTGTCCTGGGAGTCGAAGTAAGTCTGTTGACTCCAGGAATTCTGCATAGTGCTAAAGATTTCCTTTCATTTTACTACTACAAAATAGTTATTTCCTTGGTACAGTCTTTATCTAGAAGTCTCACCTAACATCTGTATTTTTCTTTCTTGTTAGAAATAGTATTTTAAATATAATTTAAAGTGTCATGATGATAGAAAAGCACAATTATTGATTGAAATTATGAACTGGTAATTCAGGGTATCTCTGAATCTCAGAGATTTCATTCATTCATTCATTCTCATGTATTTACTCTTGACCTAATTTACTCTTGACCTAATTTCAGAAAGGATATGAGGTGACTTCAAGGAAGTTTGAAATACAAGACAGAATAAATTGGAAAAAAAGGAAAGTAGAACAGGAAAGGAAGGATGAAGACGCAAAATGAAACCTAAAGTGAACCTAAAACTTCAGACCACAGTGACCAGCTCACTTGCTATTTTTAGGGCCACTCATTGGACATGAGTGTCCCAGGAGCCACATGGAAAAGAAATGCTGAATAAGTCAGTTTTACAGTGATGATTTTTTTGTAAAGGAGGAATGTAACTATTCTTGGAACTAAGATCAGATAGGGTTCTCTCTCAGGAGTCCCCCCCGAGAGAACAAGCAACATGATAAATATCCTCCTTTTAACAAGCACATAGTGCACAAGAATTTTGGAGAACTTTAAGAGAAAATAATCTATGAGGTAGTTCCCCGCATCAACAGTTTCACTTTCTAAGACTAACTGCCATCTGAAAATACTATATACAATGAGGTATTTTGAAAGGGAGAGAGAGAGATCGCATGCCCGTGACTTATTACACTATATATATTCTATTTTATTACTAGTATGTGTTGTTAATCTCTTACCTAATTTATAAATTAAACTTTATCATTGGTATGTATATCTAGGAAAAAACAATTCATAGTGGGTTCTGTACTCTCCGTGGTCTCGGGAATCCCCTGGAGGTCTTAGAGTTTATGCACCGTGGATAAGGGGGCCCTCCTGTGCAGATTGCTGAAACCACACCTACACATAATTTACATTTGCAGGATGCAATGCACATGGGCTCCCAGGAACTCTGCTCATCTGGCTTCCCCTAGGCAGGATTTGAATGTTCACTCGCTCTTCCTGCAGGCACTTTTAGACAAAGCGTTGATGCATGTTACTTGGCACTGAGCTCTACCTTGTGCATCCTCAGGCCTGGTTATTCCATTCCACCAGACACAGGCCGTACCACCCAGAACCCAGGAGAGGTCCTTCCAGGCACTGCCCATCTCTGTTCTAGTCACTGATGCTTAGAGGCATTTGAGACGTTATGAGGCCTTTTCTTTCTACTTTCTTTCTACTTTAGTCTAGGATTAGACTAGTTTTAGTATTTAGGTCCAGTCTTAAAAATTTTCTGTCTGCTTTAAGTGGCAACTATCAATTCTTCTATTTCTTCTTGCCTTTTGTTGCTTTAACCCTCTAATTTGCTGTGCTTCTGAACTGCTCATCTGAAGAAGTCATTCTGCGTGTTCACGCTGCATATCAACAGACAGCACCAGCTCTCAGAGCGGCCATCTCCCATGGAGTAAATTGGATGGACTCTTCACATCTCTGGTTACCCAGTAGCCCTTGGATTTTTCTTTTTCTCTTCTCTTTTATTGACTTTTTTGCTTGTTTTAATAAACTAAATCCAGGGTTGCAGCTATATTTTGGAAGGCTAAGATGACCACAAAGCCAGTCTCTGGAGCAGTGGCTCATTGCTAGATATTTGCATAAGTTCTCTCTGGGATGAATTGTGACAAGACAACCTCCCCAGATGTGAGGTGGTTCAGAGCATGAACTCTGATGCTGGTTTATTACCTTCAGGTCTCAGTTTTGCCCTTGATCAACTGTGCCCTTACCTAACCTACCTACACCTGCCTTTCCACCTATAAAATTTGACACTGAACCTTCTTCATTTGGTACTATGCTGATTAAGTGAATTGACATTTACAACCTACTCAGAATAGTACCTGGTATATGATAAGTGATATAAAAGTGATTGAATCAAATAATTAAATACCATTCCTCTACTGTTTCCTGTATCCCAGAATTGGAATGATTAACTCTTTTAATCCACTAGAGGACCTGGTTTCTGGTAGAGTGTGGCACTGAGGAAGACTTCTAAAGATTTGAACCATAACGGGCCTCCCTGGTGGTGCAAGGGGTTAAGACACAACCTATGAAGCTATCCGCAGCCTCTGCATTATGAGTTAGATCCCTGGCCAGGGAGCAACCCACATGGTGCAGCAGACCTCTCCTGACTTGCCCGCTGCTCCCCTCAGCAGTGTGTATCAGTCAGTCTGCCTGTTTTGCTCCCTGCTCTGTCTCTGGTGGATCCTCCCACCCCCCGCGCCTCTGGCCTATACCCCATTTCTTGTATGCATAAATAAATAAATCTTAAAAAAAAAAGATTTGAACCATAAGCAGTTAAGATTTCCACCCCTCTCACCAGCTCCAGCATTCTTTTTAATTGATTAAACATTTTTTTATTTTCTTATATTGTTGTTCATTTTTGTACAGTATTTGATTTCTCTCCTCAGGTGTAGTCCCCATAAATCTCCCACCACCACATCACCATGAACCATCACCATAGTCCCTTGTGCCCTACCCTCCCCTGTTTTACTCCCCTCCCTCCCACCCTTCTGGGTGCCACAGATCTAATATCAAGTTTTGTCTTTTTTTTTTTTGACCCTTTGTTCGGTTTCCCTATATTCCTCCTGTAAGTGAAACCATCCAGTATTTCTCTTTTTCTTTATGAGTATTTCACTGAAGCTCTAGCATCTTACCTTAGATTTTGCTGCCCAAATCCCACCCTAATTTCCACTCTGTGCTAAGAAAGGATAATATCATCTCTCAACCTGACATATGCCTAAAATTCTGAAAGCCTTATTAAATAAACTAGCTAGTACCTCAAATTTCACTATAGGTTTTGAGGGTGAATGCTGGACTTTTTTGGACCCTCCTTGAAGTACATCTTTTCATCCGCCCATGAAGGACAGTGGTGTTGGTGTTATCACTGGAAGAATGAACCACACAAATGAAGCAAAATTGAGACAATAGGCACCATAAGAGACAAATTAAAAGTTAAAACTGGGGCGGGCCTCCCCGGTGGTGCAGTGGTTGAGCGCTGGGTTGCGAAGCTGCCTGCAGCCTCTGCAGCGCTGGTTCAATCCCCGGCTGCTCCCTGGACACCGGAGGAGGGTCCCACATGGCGCGCAGACCTCTCCTGCTGCCCGCTGCTCCCCTCAGCAGTGTACTTCAGTCCTTCTGCCTGCTCTGCTCCCCGCTCTGGCTCTGGTGAATTCTCTCACCCTCCTGCGCTTCTGACTGTACCCCAGTGCTTGTATGTATAAATAAATAAATAAATAAATAAATAAATAAATAAATAAATAAATTTTTTAAAAAAGTTAAAACTGGGGAGAGGGGGCATGACACTGAAAGATAAAAGGCCACATATTATTACATCAGTGCTTCTGAAGCTTCGATTGTAGACAAAACACCTGAGAATACAGGAAAACATGGATTCTGGCTCCATAGTTGGGGGGATATGGGTGGGACTGGAGATTTTATTTCTCTAACATTCCAGGCAATCCCAATGAAGCCCACTGTAAGTGACAGAGAAGTACCTGCTTTCTAGATCAACAGAAAGTTTCTGAGTCAACTGACCTTTTTGTTCACTATCTGGAAGAAGGGATAATGGAATACAAAAAGACAGTTAACTTTCTAAATCCTGTAAGCCCCATAGAACCAAGCAACTGCAGATGACCTCCCAATAGTGCCATCTGCCTTGGATTTGAGACACATTTCTTGATTTTCTCTTAGGAAGATTTGCCAGCTTTGGGTCCCTGTGGTCCAGGGAGTGCCCTGTCAAGCTCTACTTTGCAGGACTTTCCTTTTTGTAGATCTCTTGCTAATAGGGACATTTGGAGCCATTTGTTCCCCAGGCGCCAAAGAGCTGACCAACACACTCACCAGCACGCCTTGCCTGCAGCAGTTTCTCGAAATCTCATCATCCTTTCTAACACATCACTGTTCTCTCCTTCTATCTTTCCAACAGCTACAAATTTGATGTTCTCATTCTGTCCTCCATGTCTCTTAACTTTTCTTTCCCACTTTCCTATCTCTGAACATGTCTGCTCCATCCTGGGTTAACAACTCGATTGTACCGCCCAGTCCTAACTCTCTTCTCTGCTGTTCTAATCTGTCTTCTCATCTGTCCAGTGATTTTTTTCTTATTTCTTTGGTTTTATTTCTCCTTCTAGATGTTCTGCTTTTTAATGTGCTTATTCATTCCTGATATTTTGGTATGTACATCTCTGAAATGCTTCCTTTATTTTTTTTAATGTTTCGTGCATCACTGTCCAAATTCTATTTCCTGTAGTCTTAAATGCTGCAATTCCTGGCTGCCTGTTGTCTCTGTGTCTACTGACTTCTGCTTCCCTTAAGCAGAAGCCCACACAGTTTGGGGTCAAGACACTGACTAGGGAGCAAAGCCTTGTAAGGAATAGGAAAGAAGGAGGTTTGGGCCAAGGGAGAAGCCAAACTACCATGAAAGCTAGCCAAGCCACAGCCCACTTTTGGGACTCTCTGGGTACTATCCTTCCAAGCTGCTGTGCTATAGGGCCAGTGTTTCAGGACAGCAGATCCAGAGGAGCTTCAGATCTGCCCCACAGCCAGGCAGCAAGACCTCAGTGCTCTTAACCATGGTGATGCTGCATTTTAGCTGTCAGATGTGAGTGGATGTCATCTGTGCTTTATAAAGTGTTTCTGACAAAGTCATTTCATCTTTAATAACAGTGTTATTTATGGGTCTTTATTATACTATAACAAATGGAATGAAAGGCTTCCAGTATATTCTGCATTATCTCAATACTAAGAATGTTTGTAAACACTGCAGAGGAATGCTTGTTCCTTTTAAACCTGATTTTGCTAAGTTAAGAAAAGCTATAGTTTTATATTTGTGTTAGCTTAAATGTAGTTATCCTTACATTCCTTTACTTCAAAACTATTTGAAATCAAAATATATGTTATTAACTAACACTTACAGACTACTGTCCTAAAATATCAATTCAAAGAAAGTATTGTTTGTTTGGTCATTCTGAAGCAGAGCAATCCTTAATTTGAGGCAAACTTACTTTTTTTTCTATTTTCCTTCCTTCCCTCTCGCCTTCTCTATCTACTTCTTCCTTCCTTCCTCTCTCCCTCCCTCCCTTTATGTCAAGTGTGTGCTGTTGAAGTGCTTTGTAAACATAGCCAGAGGCACAATAAGGATTACAGATAATTTAACCTTTCAAAAACATTAAATGAAACAAGACTTTACATTGAAAGATTAATTTGATGCTATATTAAATTGTCACTTCAAACCCCTAAAAAAATTGAGTAAAACATAATAACAGCAATTTCTCAAAGCCAGAGCCCAGGTTCACACTATCATGGGGAGATATAAATATTTATCTGTCTCAGTGCATCACTTAGATTTCCCTCTGCTGAATCTTTCAGTCAACTGTGAATCTTGTAATGGCATTTCATTTTGCTTAAGAGCAGCAAATCAGGTATTCATAATACTTATTATTCTTGTTGAGCGCCTAAGAGCGAAGAAAACTGAGATTTTGTGGCAGTTGAGTTTCATGTTTTAAAAATTCTGATTAGAACTTGTGGATTTATTATTGCATTACAGTATTAATCAGCCCATGGTTCTAAGGGATATGTATGGTTAAATATTTGAGATTTAATTGTTGATAGTGCTTGTCAGTAACAAATTTGAAAAGGCATTCTCAGTGCTTGCTTTTTTGATAAAGTGTTCATTGTAAAAAAAAAAAAAAAAGTAGTATTTAAAAAAGAAAAGAAAGCAAAGTCACCCCAAATTCTGTCACTCTTCTGTCACCATTCTTCTAGGCACCTCTTTGTAAATATTTACAATGTGTGCATTTTCACAGTTTTGAAATTATGCTAGTCTTGCCATTCATAGCCTAGAGATGTCACACCTATGTCATGAGCATCAAGAAGCCTTTTTGAAATCTTTCTCCCTCATTTTAAAGAAAGTAAAAGTTAACTTTCCTTTGGAAAATGCATTGGGTTCCCTGTTTTGTAAGGATCTGCTTTCAAGGAGAAGTGTCTCCATCTGGTGGCCTTTTAGAGTATGGTCATTAAAGACTTCCCAACTCACGTTTTTTTACAACTCTAATTGGAAATGTGGTCAAAGCTAGGACTAGTTTAGTAGACCTAATGAAACCCAGCATGGCACCAGAGAACCTTGTCTGTTGTAGAGCAGAAACCCAGGGCTCGTTGGTGGAACTGCACCTGGCCTTCACACCATCGCTCAAGACCATAGGGTCTCATGAGGAATAAAAAGCTCGGACTAGAGCCCAACCTTCTCAGCTGGCTAACAATGAGCTCTCGCCATGATTTCCTCTTTCATCTCATCTTCAACACTGATCAAGGAGCTGATCTTAGTAGCCAAGTGACTCAGCTTCAACCTTGTAAAATCATCATCAGAGCTTCTGCAGAGGAAGGTGGAGGCCCTAAGTAGAGTAATTTCACTTTAAAGGAATTATGAAAGGACCAGTCCCTTGTCCTCTTGCTTTACACTGTTATTGTTACATCCAAAATTTGACTTTACAAAATAGTTTGGAATCTTAGAAAAAAATATAAAGTTGAATTTTCTTACTGTGTATATATATACATGGCAAACATAGACCTGGCTGCAAAAATGGTCATTTTCTCCAAATAAGACCTTAATGATTTCACTTTGCATGAAACTATAGAGTTGTATTTCACATCTGAAAGAGCAGCTTTTGATTGGCTATTTTGTTTTCCTTTTTTGTGTCTCCCGTGCAGTATATAGTGGAGTGTCATGGGGTCACTCTTCTCCCCCAGTTCTTGGGCATGTACCGGCTTAATGTTGATGGAGTTGAAATATATGTGATTGTTACAAGAAATGTCTTCAGCCACCGGTTATCTGTATATAGGAAATATGACCTAAAGGTGAGATTTATTTTTATTAAGTGAGCTTGCTCATCTAAATCATTAATGCTGTAACTGATCATGCTAAAGCCACCAGGCTACAAGCAATGCACTCCTTTGTGTTAAACAAGAATCACTTGCTGACTTTACCAGAAGGTCCATGCACCATTTAGAGGTATCATCTCTAATGTATTCAATAAGTATTTATTGAACACCAGCTATGTACCAAGCACTATTTTACATGCTAGGAATGGTATGATGAGCAAACAGAGCAATCCTGCACTCAAGGAGGTGGCATTCTGGTATGTAAAGATAGTAAGTAAAAGTAATAAATAAATTATATAGTATAGTTGTATGTCATTTAATGATATTTATGTTTTATAAGTGCTATGCATAGAAATACACAAGAAAGGCTGGGAGAAACAATTTTAGCCAAGCTCTAAGGAAAGCCTTTACTGAGAAGGTGACATTTGAACAGACCTAAAAAAGGTGAGGAAATGATCTGAGAAAAGAATATTCCCAGCAAAGAGAACCTGCAAGTGCAAAGGCCCTGAGGCAACATAGCTCAAGGCCAGAGCTGAGTGACGGGACCTCTTGGAGGCTCTGAGGGTAGACTAACATGATCTGACTTCTAGGATCACTGACTTAGAGGGAAAATGGTCAAGTCAGGGGCCTGCCAAGTATGATCCTGCCTGCTTGCCATATCCATTGTTTTTGCCTGTTTTTGCACTATAGTGGCAGAGGCCTTATGCATCACAAAACCTAAAACATTTACCCTCTGGATCCTTTCCAGAAAAAAATTTGCCAACCTTTGTTCTTTATCACTGGGTCTCAACTTTTTTTTTTAACCTTAGATTCTTTCACACTCAAAAGAGAACTCCAGAAAGCTATTCCTTATGTAAATTATGTCTACTGACATTTATATTAGAAGTTAACATGAGAAATTAAAAAATACTTAACTTACTTAAAATAAAATCATTACAATTCATATATTTTTATGAAATACCTATATTATGTATATTTATAATTAGCTATATTTTCCCCCAAAATGTAGTAAGATAAGAATTGTTTTATATCTTTGCAAATCTCTTTAATGCCTGACTTAATATAATTCAGTCGGAAAGTCATATCGAGATATGAAGTGTGCGAAAAAAATCTTACCTTATGCAAATGTGTAGTTAGGAAAGGGTAGGGTGGTTTATTAACTTTTTCAGAAAATTGGAGAAATTGTTTGATACTACACTAAAACCTGACAAGTGGTCATTTCTCAAAATTCAGTGGAATCTGAAATCACATCAGTGAACTCTTTATGCTCTTTTCATTAAATTCCATTGGTCTGTTTACATGCATTAGTCTGACTGCATCATGCTTGGGTTATTTGGAACATCAAGTGCACAGACTTATGTGCTCTTCAAAATAATGACACATTTCATTAGGTAGTATCAATAAGTCACATTAATATCACTACTGATCTCATCAGAAAAGGCTTTAAGTATTGAGAAGCTATCAATCTTAACATGGTAGATACAAGTTTTAGAAAATCACCATTTTCACTTGAAAACTCAACTGTTATCATTGGCAACAAATGTCATTTCTGTGACATGACAGCATGCAGCCCCCTGCACATGGCCCAGCCAAGCAGCTTTATTTATCTCTGAGCTCTACTGAGAATCAGAACTAAGGTAAATTATATTGTAGGAGGGGAAAAGCATTCATGAACCCTAAACTCAGTTAGGGATATAAAGAGAGATAGTTTCTTCCTCTGTTTGCAGCATAAGCAATGCTCAAATATTACAAATGCCCCCCGAGTTTTTTTTTAAATTCAGGAACATTATTAGAAATCAGTGTGCAAAGAAAGATATTTGAGACCATGTCCAGGAATCCCTAAAGAAGAAAAATAGATCTTGCTGGTCTTAACTAAACAGAACACACTGCTGCTCATGTGGAATAGGCCTTAGGTTCTCCTTTTAAGTGATTAACAGCATCCTTCTTCATTTGATGGGTCAGCTTTGTGTTCCCAGCATATCCCCGAGAGAATCAGAGGGGGAGAACTGATCCGAGGAGAGTCCAAGCTGGTCTCACCCCCTCCCTTCCCCAGGGCAAGGGGTCTCCTCATCTGTGAGTTAATAGGCAACACACAATCAATGCCTGAGCTGCATGAATGAAAACTGTAAAAATTTTGACTTCTCTAAGAATGGCCCATCTAGAAGCTTCTTTTACTTTTCCCAAGTCACATGTAAGTTCTCTTAATAATTGACTAATTCAAGTATTCCAGAGCAATAAATGTCTATTTAAGAGGTGATCAGCTGAATGAATCTGCTGACCTTATGATAGTTTGGGTGTCCAGTGCTGGAGGGGAAGAGAAACCAGCAAATTAGTCCGTGATCCTTCTTCAAACATTTATTCAGCATCACTGGGCATTACTGTGTGAGAGACAGTAAGATGGTCGCTGAGGAGCCCAAAGAATAGTCATTATCATATTGACACTCTTAGGAGTTTACTGGACCATTTGCTTCCCGGCTTTATCTTTTGCATTTAAATCTTCCACAAACAAAGGAAAGTGTCTCTGCTTGAACTCAATCCCAAAAGCCCCCCTGTTGACATCTGTGGTGGACCCTGGTTTTCTCTGACAGTGGCAGAGTGCTGAAGCATAGTTTTGAAAGCCCGTACAGGAGAGCCAGAATTGCTGAGACCAAGAACTGTTTTCTTCCACTTAGGGCCCGGTACAAGAAAGGTACAAATAAAGTTGGAAGGGAATCTTCAAAGAGAGGGGGCACAGAAAGTACCCCAGGGGCTTATTGATAGTGAGGAAAACATGTTCATCTGTAACTCTAGAAAGGCAGTCAGAGGGCTGGGAACACCCACATCTGGAAGACATAAAGCGGGGAAAGAGGCAGTCAGTGCCCCAGTGGACACTCAGCCAGCTGGTGGCCCACTTTACCTTTGAAGATCATAAGACACCATTTCTGGCAGTTGATGTAAGGAGAAAAGCATGGTTTTGATCCAGTATTTATTAATAAGGTATCATTTCAGTGATTGTCAAGTTTTCCAATTTCCAGCAGAGGGACACGAACCAGGGAGAAGAAAGCACAGGGATATGGTAGGGGCAGGGTTGGAGACAGAGCAAGCAGCCCCTACAGAGGGAGCAGCACCTGCAGACCCAGCAGCCATCAGGAGGGACAGTCACTCAGGAGGAGGCTCCAAAGTCAAGTCGGTGCTTATTCCTGTGCTCTGGAACTCATGCATCTTTTAAACACGTTAACGCCAGCACCTCAACATGCATGTTATTATCATTTCTTTGTGTTTCAGGGCTCTACTGTGGCTAGAGAAGCTAGTGACAAAGAAAAGGTAAGTACCCCGACACATTTCTCACCATAATTCTGTGGGAGTGTTCCAACAGTCCTGCTTCTCTTTTCTTAATATAGTTGTTTTATTTGAAATAACATTGTTAGATAAGTTTCAACTGTGTATAATTTATAGATCGACTTCCATATAGAGGACATTAAGTTCACTCCTAAAAGTCCAATTGTGTCTTTCACTGTGCCACAGACAGCCCTTTTGTTGGGAAAGCTCTACTTTTCGTTCCCTTTCATGCCGTGATTCATCTCCCCATTAGCCGCCACTGTGAGAAATGTGTTGCAGTGAGGAGTGTTAACTGCATTTCTCCTGCTCACATTAGCTGTCCCATGCCTCTGTGTCGCATAGCCAGATAGTGTTTAGTTTTCAGTGGGATTGAAAAATTCTTTCACATGCACCATGGTCTTGAAACTTAGGTGTAGTTACTTAGGCTCCAGACTGCAGGCGCAGCTCAACAACTAGCCAGGCACAGCTGTTGGCTCAAGTTTCCTCACCTCTACACCCAGTTTTCTCACCTATACACTGTGGAGTTTCAACTCCACCTATAAGTATTGGCTTTGGATGAATTTTAAACTCCTTTCTGACTCTAAAATGTTAAGATAATGTTGAGTGTTTTTTGTTTGAATAATTAGGAAAGCGGAGACTACAGTTTTTAATCTCTTCCTGACCACATTTAGTTTATTATGCAAGATTCTAGACAGATTCAACATAAATCAGCGTGATTAAGAATCAGTGTGATTAAATCAGTGTGATTAAGATGTAACATTCTGTACCAAATTAAACTGACTAAAACTGACCTGTTTTTATGAAAAGTCAGGGAGAGTGTGCTGCGCACAAGTGCATTTCTAGAACCAGCCTGAAAGAAAATCATCATTTAAGGAGCAGGTGAGGGAAGAGGGCCCTGTAGTGGGTCAGCTAAGAGACAGGAGGTGAGCCAGGAAGTCTGGATCATGTGTTAAGATGTTTATTGAGCATCTGCTCTGAGTAAAGCATTCTGAGAAATCCCTTAGTGAATAATACCCGTATTTTTTTTTTAAAGATTTATTTATTTATGCATTTAAGAGCTGGGGTACAAGCCAGAGGTCTGGGGGCCGGGGTGGCGGGGTGAGAGGATTCACCAGAAACGGAGTGGGGCACAGAACAGGCAGATTGACCGAAGTACACTGCTGAGGGGAGCAGCGGGCGAGTCAGGAGAAGTCTGCTGCGCCTTGTGGTTTGCTCCCTGGCCGGCAGGGATCGAACTCATGTTGCAGAGGCTGAGGATTGCTTAATAGTGCTGTGCTTAACCCCTTGCGCCACCAGAGAGGCCCAATAATACCCGTATTCTTAGGAAACCTGCAGTCTGATCTGCACCCAGAATCTAGAAGAAGAGAGTTTTCCCAGTATCAGGTGCTTTTGCAAGGTCAGGTAGGATGAAGACTGAGAATTATCCTTTGAGCTTATCAACAGAGAAATCACCAGGTCACCTTGGCAGTGATCAATGGCAGAACAGAAGCTAGACTTCAGGGAGTTAAGCAGTGAGAGAGAGGCATCCCTGGTGGTGCAAGGGGTTAAGTCGCAGCACTATGAAGCTATCAGCAGCCACTGCACCACAAGTTCGATCCCCAGCCAGGGAGCTGATCAACACGGCACAGCAGACCTCTCCTGTCTCGCCCGCTGCTTCCCCTCAGCAGTGTATTTCAGTCAATCTGCCTGTTCTGCTCCCCACTCTGTCTCTGGTGAATCCTCTCACCCCTGCACCTCTAGCCTACACCCCAGTTCTTGTATGCATAAATAAATCTTTAAAAAAGCGAGAGAGAGGAAAAAGAACCCGGTGCATACTTGTTATTTAATCATCTCAGGCTGGGTGGGTTCACCATCAGTTCTAACAGTTTAAAAGAGAACTTTGGAGGCCTTGGCATCATCTTCACAGGTTTTAACTGTAAGTAGGGGAAACCAGCCAGCAGGGAGACAGCAACTTAAGCGCCCCCCTCACCCTGAGTGATGCTGCCGTTTTATCACCTCCCTCCTAGGTTCACTTACACATGTACACACACCCATGCTCCAGGCATCCACAATCAGGCAGTGTGCCATGCCCACGCGCCTTCTGCATTAACACCATCAAGGCCACAGGTGATAGCCACAGTGGCTAGTAGCATAAAAAGCCTGATTAAATTCATTTACCTTACAATACTTCTTTGAGAATTTGTATTTGTACTGTGCACTGGTGAAGATATTTTTACACTTCCAACCTCCATGTAAACCTATCACCCTGAAGACCACAGCTTCGTCTAAAAGAAGCAGAAACAAGGCCATGTTACTGATTAAACGTCTCTTCCAGGCGCCCAAGACCCAAACGCGTATTTTAGTCCATGAATGACTCAAAGGCTTAGTATCATTGGGATATTCTCCTAGGGAAAAACATCTGGATTGTTTAAAGGCCACACAGCCTTTTGAGCATTGTAGTAAGAAGTCAGCCCGTGAGTTAGGAGCCGTGGATGGGATCTGCCGCTCCAGTCTGTTGCTCTGTTTTACGTCATTCACAGGTCCCTGGAGGTAACTGCTAGCAGCCTTTTCCCCTCTCTGTTCGTTTTATTTCCTTAGTCACCAGAGTTTGGTTTGCTCTGACAACCAAAGCCAGGAAAGACAGGTACAGCTAATAGCGTGGCCGCAGCTGCTAATTAAGTCATAATATGAGGACACTGTGTGAAGGAAAACCACAAATACTTGGCATTGTCGTATCTGTAATGTTTCTTTGGAAGCAGAACATTCAGTTACTTATTTGAATTGCTTGTAGAACCATATACTTTACAAGGACCCATGGCATTCACCACAGTTCCACTGCCAGCCCCCCCAAAAATGTTCAGCCCCTTTATTAGTGTAGATTTCTATGAAAAGACCTAGATTATAAAATTTGTTTAGCAGAAACTCACTTTTCTGAGGATTCCAGTAAGATGTTTTATCCCGCATTGAGTGTATGCCAGTTGTTCCTCAAAACATTTCCCTTGGAGGTGGCCTTAAAGAAGGCAGAGATGGAAGAACCCCAAGAGATCAGAGTCCAGTGTCTCCACCACACACAAAACAGAGTTGAGGCCAAGAAACTTAAATTCCAATGCACCATCACACAGTGGCAGAGGCAAACCTTACCTACTCTGGTGTGTATTTTTTTTTATATTAATCTTGATATATTGGGAATTATAAAGGTAAATAATTACTAATATCTGTTCAGTGCATACTATATTGCCAGGCACTTTTAAATATTACATGAATATGGTCATATAATTCTTACAGCCACCTTATGGATGGGTGCTGTTATTACTTCCTTTGAGTCAATGAAGTTACTCAATAGCCAGATTCAGTAACTCCTCTAATGAACCACGCTTAGGAAGTGACAAAGCCAGATTCCTAGACCAGAGCTCACATTTCTGATTACTGTGCTGTAATTCCTTCTTCAGTGTTTGGAATCACTGTCCTTTTTTTAAAAAAAGGACATATTAACTAAAATTCATACTAGCCCCATGACATGGGAAAGAACAAGGAAACATTGACTGCATTGACAGAAGCATTGTTTTGGAGTTAAAAATGTGGTACTAAAGCAATTTATTCTGAGCCTTGATATAAATATTTTAAAAAGTAGTGAAATAGTTTGATTTTATACTACTGCTGGCAAATTTTTCCTCCATTTGAGAGTTCCAGCACTTTTGCAAATAAGTCTGCATCACCGCAGCTTACACTTTAATGTAAATGCCAGAATTGTCTGCACTATTGCACCAAGGAAGAACGCCTGGGCTTGGGATTAGTGACAGCTTTTCTTCCAGACAGTATGGCTATGAAAAGCCACCCACATGCCCTTCTAAATTATAAGGTAGTGGATAAGAGGCAATAGTTTGAAGATATGGAAACTAATGGTAAGTAAAATCACTCATTGATGAAGACTGTGCGTTGACAATAGGACATCACGTCTCTCTGATATAGCAGTTTGTTTATAATTAGCAACACTTGAGATAATGTTTACTAAAATATAATGCATCAATAATAGATGAAATGTATTAATGGAGCTGAATTATTAAAAAAATACTAAGTTTTTCTGAGTTCTAAGAAATTTCTCTGCTTTCCCTTTTCTGCCAATTTCCAGGTTCTTTCCATCATCTGTTAATAAATTTCACTCCTCCCAAAAGCGTGCTACTCTTTGTCATCACAAATAAAACTTTACATGTTATCAAAATAATCATTCTTATCTAGAAAAGGCAAAATATTTATTTTCTATATTTTGGCCTTTTATCAATGAAACCAAGTGTGAGAAAGAATATTCATTTCATTGCTCTCCTGTGATATTCTCTATAAAATCATAATCATAATGCAAAGAATGAATTTCCTAGAGAATCTCCATTGATAAGTATTAATGAGTCATCTGAATTCTTAGTTTTTAATTTAGTTTTAATTTCTCATGCTTTTAACTTCTTGATGACAAGTTTTAAAACTGTTATTTCAGATAGTGATGTGGGTGCAGACAAATCCCATCCTGTAGGTTTCAGCTTGCCATATAATTAGTGTGATTTGCATTATTATAATAACGAAGATGGAACTGAAGGAAATAAAGAAGTTATATTCCAACAATAATGGAATCGCTTTCATGGCAACAAGTATAAGAACATGCAAGTACAGATGCCTTAAAATTTCAAAAAGCAGAGGAGTGCTTTTTTTTTTTTTTAAACTGCTGTCAAATTCTGACAGCTGCTATGACTTGTTTTATTCTTTAATTCTTTCCTTTTTAGTGGAAGGGCATCTTCCATTCATGGCTCCAGCAGTTTAGCCTCCTCTAAATGAGACAGAGAAATGCGAATCTCCCTGGTGGTCGATCTTTTCACAGCTGCACTGCAATTCCAGTGTGACATCAAATTAGTAATTATAGCTGAGCGGACTGCTTTTTACAAATGACAGTCTTAGCATGCTGCCAGCAAGCAAGCTACTCAGCATGGGCTCTGGGAAGTAAAAGAAAACATAACTGGACT